CCAATTACGATAGTGGATCTTTTTATGAAATTGCAGAAATTTGTCGTTCCTTACAGAAGTTGATTGTTGACTGTGACCATGATAATGATGGTTTGGCAACGCTAATTAGAAATCAACATGGATTAGAATATCTAGAAATTGCATCACTAGAAGGTGACGAATGTACTAATATTGGCAATGCTTTAAAGACACAAGCTGATACCCTCTCACATATTCGATTATCATTCCTTGCATGCATATCGCCAAAAATTCTGTGGTCCTTTATAAACCTAAAGACATTACAATTTGATCTGATTGACCTTGGCGCTTCATATGTTAAAGAGATATTAGAACAAGCAAATTTTCCATATCTCGAAATACTTGATATATTTGGTCTTAAATGTGAACTTCATATTAGTCTTCTTACAAGGTTGATTAAGCAAACCCAACATACATTGCAAAGAATATATTGGAATGAAGTCACAAAACCAATAGAAGAAGATTTACGATCATATCTTGAAGCTATTGCTCGAAATTGTCCAAAGCTTAAATTCATTACTATTCCTTACATGAACCAAGTCAAGGATCTTCTTGGCAATTTATTGATATCCTGTCAGCAATTAGAAGGTATCAAAATAGTAATTTGCGAAAAGGTTGATGCAAATTGGGTATTCGAATGTTTAGGGAAAAAATCATCAAAAAATTTACACTTGATAAATTTACCAGAAGGATGGTGGTTCTCACACTCAGAGTTAGAGGCATTTTTTAAAATGTGGAAAGAAAGAAGACCGATGATATTCATTTCACCAAAAGATACAATGCAAGACAGAAAAATAACTGGAGTCATCGAAAAGTATTTGCAAGTGAGGACAATCAAAAAACATATAGACATAGGATTCGACATGAATCATATACGTTGGATCAAGGATTCTTGGAGGATAGGCCCAGTATATGATAGATAATAATAGATAATGCTTTTAGGTGCTCAACAGTTACTATTTTTTAGTCGATGGTATTATTAATATCATATTATAACAAAACTAAATAAGAACTAAATATTATACAGTTCTTTAATTGTAGTAAAATCCAAAATAATAAAAAGCAGGACAAGTAATTTCTCAAGCATGCAAATTTACAGGTTGGTTCGCATAGCTATTATATTTGCAAATACGGTCGTGGTTATATGAATAAGAAAAGTATTGATTTAGATTTTAAGACTAATTCTTTATATTTTTTTATCTTTTTTTATGTGGTATATAAGCTATTTAAACCACATTAGCAACTACATTTTGGCAATTCTCATAATACAAGATATGCAAAATATCTTAAAGGTCTGTAAATTATAACTAATAATAATGAATGTATAAATTTGTATAAATATAAATCGATCTTAGGCAATTTTGTCTAAAAAAATTGTTTTTTTACAAAATTATTTATTATTTTTAAAAATATAGTTAAATTCTATATAATAATTATTTTTGATTTTAATAAATTATACATTATATAAAAATTTTTATCTATTATATGTATATGCAAATAATATAAAAGCTATTTCCAAATTTGATATTATAAAACATAGATTTATAAAAATAAAGGTGTAATCCGGATAAAATATTTATAAATTCTAGTTGAATATGCTATTTTGTATTAGACAATATTAATTTTTTAAACTATTATCTTTTAACCATATTATATATATTTGTTAAATTTTTAAGCTTTATTACTCAAAATTTTATTAGACCTCACCCCCACTTTCTAAGCTAAAATAAAAGCATTCTATATGTTGCATGCTATTTTATTTATAATATTTCAAAGTTATTATCTAACGTGAATTATAATAAGATCGTAATAGGA